GAATTGTGAAATATTGCCCATTTGAAGTGCAATCTGTCAAGGTGTCTGGGACGTTTACGCAACTGCACATTTGATCGCTGTTAACGAAGAAATCACTAAATTCCATGAAACACTTTATCCTTATCAGCAGGGTAATGTAGGGTTTGGAAGTTAATCGATTTTTTTGAGAATATTGGCCGTTCAGATCAGTGGACAGGGGGATCACCCTTAAGACTACTTGATCAACATAAAAGCCCACGAAAAACAATTTAGCTGGCATCAAAAGGGACTCTAAGCATCTACTTGTCCAAATTAAAATCCACCACACAGCAAAGTTATGTGTTGTATAATTTAGCCATATAATGGTGGTCACCTCGTCAACTTATGCATTTACTGGATAGACTAGGAGATTGACTTTTGCGCCAGCAGCGATCAAATGTGCAGTTGCGTAAACGTCCCAGACACCTTGACAGATTGCACTTCAAATGGGCAATATTTCACAATTCAGAACATCGCAGCAGCATGACCGACTGTCCTAATCAGCAAACACCCTCGAAATTCGGATTGAGGAGGCCTGTGCATGTTTTGATGGGACTGCCCGAATTAGCTTGTACGTGAAAAGAAATATGTGTAAGTGCGTACGTGATCTAGTCAAGGTCACATATGTGCATTGCCTTTCACCAAAAGCTGACAAAATCCCACATGCATTTGAGTTAAAGACCCAATTGACATTGCTTCGAACCCGTCATACCGGTAATTTTGACATGTGCAACAGTTGTCGCTGTCCTTTTAATTATACTTAACCTATAGAAGCAACTAAAGCTAATTTTGGTTACGAGGTCAGACAATCCAGTGAGACCGATGAACACACCGATTGAGACGCTCAGCCACTACGTCTTTGATGTCTCTGATCTATGATGTTAAACGTGCTCCTCCATTGGAGTTCAAATCCAAGGCTAAGGAGAACTCTCTTTTTATTGGTGTGGCCATTAACTTTTTGCAAAGTCGCTGGTGCGTTAATTCCTCCCCCTACCTATTATTCCATCCAATAACAAACACTTGGCTTGACTCTATGTTAGTCCTGTCGATGGATCACGCATTCTGACCTAATGTCACCAGAATCGGGAAAAAAATTGGGACATTCGCTTTGGCGATTTGTCCTGAGTTTCCCACTGGCGTTACATAAAAGTTCTGTTTTGAAGTGCTTGTATTCGTTCGCTGACGAAGATATTTTTATTGACACAGTCACCTGAGGTCCTATTTCAACTTTCCCACTCCTCCCAGTGGTTGAGGTTAGCTTTTTTTGTTTTCAACCTACCTGCTTATTGTAGAGTATGTACGTGCGGTAAGGGAAACAAGCACCTATCACAACAGCGATCGCTTGAGATAATCGTTTGCGCTGGGTAAACGCCCACAACAACCCAACGCGAAGTACTATTCTAAAAGTCGAATATCCAGCCATTCTTTGAAGTTTTCGCGATTATGCATAGGACACCCTTGGCCTCTTAGATTGTATTACAACATTAAGAAAATAAGATACGCGAAGGATAACGTCGATCTACTGTATTTTTGTGTTCACTGATTAAAAGGTGTTTTACATCAAGGCAACTAGCAACTAAGATGTGAAATGAGACAGGAAATGGATAAGTTCCGTTCTGAATTTTCTCTATAAATTATAGAAAGTGTACTAACATTAAGATTGAAGAAAAGGAGGCAAATAATGCCTTAGACGGGATAGTTTTGGCGCCTGATAAGACACACCGGTTTTGCTAAAGGGGCACACGTATGTCATTGACTCCACCAAATACATTTTTCCCACTTCCCAGCATGACAGAGAAACGAGGTTGTCTTGACTGAGAGTAACGGATCTGCCTCATCTGGTCAAAACCTGTTTCGCCGAAAGTGTCGCCCTGTTGGGCTATCCTGAGTTCAGCTAATCTTTGACGTGCTTCTGTGGTCGTCAATTCGTTTGAAGATCCTATGATGCGCAGTTTAGAGTGCTCCTCTTCCAGTGTAAAGATCTGCATGGTGTTGGTACTTCTGCTTGTTGCATCGGAGCCGGTTACCACGACAATACGATCACCACCTTTCACGAGACCGGTACAGCGTGCGTGTGCGATGGCCGCGTTGATGCGATTATCAATGTCCACCGCCCAGTCTTCATCACAAGTTCCTTTTTAAAAAAGAAAAAAATAGCTAACAAAACGAGAAAATCCGTTTTTTGAAATTAGTGAGGACCGTAACCGGGAACAAATTTGTGAGGGATTTGTGCCTTCACCAAATTTTCTTCTCTTTACACATCTTAATACATAAGATTTAAGTGACCACAGGTACTTTTTTTTCACATTTGACAAATAAGGCTAGTTGAATTATGGTTCACAGACTGTTGATGATACACATGTTAATTATTTACTTTTAAAACCTTTCGTAGCCGACCATCTAAGTAGAACGATGGGGACATAATAACAAAGAGCTATCGCCTTAAAAGCATTAAGTAAACGGTAACAACATTTCAATATTTGTCCCAAAAAGTGGTAATAAGAATTGGTCAATTTTTCCTTAGACTTGAGAAACTTAATGCAATGATGTGGTTATTAAAAGTCACTCGAGTAAACTGAGAATAATGCATAAAGTATTCACAAACCACTAGGGATTACCATCTAATGAAGCGCATTTGGTATTCCAAAAACTTAGTAATGTGTCAAAAGCAACTCTAAATATTGATTTTCTATTTCTGTTCAAAGGGTGCATATTTTCGGTTGACCCAAGAGAAAATTTTTGTATCTGAAAAAAATTACCCCCAGCCATTTTTATGTTCTATTTCTATCCGCGGATTATTGTACTCAAACATTCCATAAGATACCGATCTTTGGAGTAACGCTGACAGATAACACGCACAGTTGACCCAAAGCAGCCTTTGTTAGTCGAAATTCGTTGTTTATTTAGTAAATAATGTTCCACATTCTCCTGAACTACTTTTCCTAAATAAGACACTAATCCCAATTAGGTAGATGATTAGTTTCTCAAAAAACTTGCGTAATCGTTGGAAATACAACTTTCCAGTGCACTCTAAGATGTGATATTCTTTAGGTCCATCCCAACCACACTTGCGTGTGCAACAAAAATTAAAATCCGGACAAAACAATTCGGGTTTGTGTGTTGATGAGAGCAAAGACCTCCACTGCCCCATACCGATAAGCCAAGACTTAATCTGTTTTTGTCCAAATTCAATTCTGTTACCATTGCACATTCGGCCCACCACACAAGTATTCCCTGAGGTAAGCAGGTGATGCAGAAGCAGCTTTCAACAACATCTTGGAAATTTGTAAGTGGTTCAATTATTCATTTTGCTATCTCGATGTACATTTATTTTGTTTCTGGAAAAATGGTTCATCAAGCTGACACTTCGCATTATTTGCAACATGCGGGCTAAACTAGATTACGGAAATGTTAGTAGGAATATTTCATACTGAAATTAACTGCTTCAGGAAACCGTAGAAGTGGTGAAAGATGAAATTACTCACCAGTATAAACGAATGGATGAAGGCCCCGGTAGGCGTAACAATGCCGAGCTACAGAGGCATCAATAGTAACCGCGACGACGGAACACGGCGGTCGAGACATCGCAATAAACATGGCTGATCTGAAAGCACCAAAGTGGGAAAATAAGGCTTCAATTTTGCTAAATTGTTGAATTTACAAACCAACGGAAGCAATTGATGGAATGACTATGCATAAAGAAAACTAGAAAAAAAGGACTTAAAAGTAGATATTTGCATATTTTACTCTCTTGAAGGTAAAAAAGGAATATTGCTGCATTAGTCAAGACGTTTTGCGATGACTGACAAATAATTTGCAAATATAGTATTGATGCAAAACAAATGCATAAAGCCCAGAATAAAGCAAAGAGAAATTAACGTAAAGTGGCAGCATGCTTTGAAATAACACGTCTTTTGAAAAGTCAGAAGTTGAGATAAGTTAAATCTACAAGTAAGTTTCTGTTCAAATGCTTTTTTGATCTGGACATGTAATACAAAAAATTACAATATTTCCTAACTGTGGAATATTGACTTCTTAAATAGGCCATGAATTCAAAGTACTATATGTACAAAAGTGTTTGAACGCATGGTGGACACCAAAAAAATTTATTCCCAATGTTACGTTGTAGGAACACTCAAAGTGATACGAATATTTTTAAAGCCTTCTATTACAGCATTCCATTACCTACATTTCATTTGGTATAAATATGTGTGATATGCCTTAGCAAAATAAATTGCACGGTTTTTTCCCCGAATTAATTGCCCGTTAGAGGATATAAATGCAAAAAACTGGAATAGAGGAATGGAGGCCATAACCACATAAATGGAAATGAAAGGCAAGGAGGAATTCGCAGACACTCACGCGCCGGTTGTAGTAACAACGAAAATTGCTGATGCACCGCAACTGGCTGCGGCTTCAACAGCAGAACCACCGGTCACTGCACGAATGTCTCCACACGCTTTACCTCGAAGAAGACGGCATTGTTTGAGCTGTTCTCGAGTTTCGTAGTGAAAGATTGCGCGCTCGGCCTCGCGGCAAATCTACGTTTAACAATGCGATTAATCCACATCTTGGGCCAATGTAAATAACTTACATGATCAACTACACTGACGGACTCCAACGGAAACCGGCCCCACGAAGTCTCCATTGTAAGAACAAGACCGTCAGCACCATCTAGAACTGCATTAGCAATATCAGAAGATTCAGCCCGCGTAGGCCTGGGTTTAGTAACCATAGATTCCAGCAGCTGCTCAATAATAAACACAGGTTTCTCAGCGATATTGCAATGGCCAACAATATATTTCTGCAACTTAAAAATTTTTTCCGGTGTGTATTGCATAGCCAAATCGCTACGACGGACAACAAGACCATCCGAGGCCGTAATAAGTTCTTGTAGGCTAAAGTTGGTACTAATTAGAAAACATTGAAAATATAACTTTTTGATTGATTCACGGGTTTCCAACTTTGCAAACACCTTAGTAGTACCAGGTAAGTGATTACGGGCCAGGTGAATCATGCTACTATTTTCAGCAAAACTAGTGAAAACAAAGTCAACCTGGAAGTGAACAACAGTGCAATAAATCTTACCCCACATTCAGAGGCGAAATTCAGGTCCTTTATATAATTTATTTGAACAGACTCCTGATATAAGCGATCCCTTGGTAAAGTGACACGTTTATAACTTCCAATGATGCCTGAATATTGCAACTTGAATAAACTTTAGTACCACCCTCTTCGACCATGCAATTAAGACAATCAAAACCGACATCCTTCACAGAAAGTGTAACCTGGCCATCGTCAAGGTACACCCTATCGCCCTTGTGAAGGCAGTGTATAAGTTGTGGGAAGTATTTTGTATTAATGAAGATAATTTTCGGCGTACATTTAAACTTGTACTGTTCATCCAACGTAAGTGTGACACGACTTCCTTCTTCCAGCGTGGCTTCAAAAGAGGGCCCCTAAAAACTATTTGAAAGCACAAATCTTACTCCTTCGAATATGCCCGTGCGAACCGGCGCAGCAGTCATATCCATAGCAATGCTCAGGACACGTTTGTAGTCACACTCTTTTTCGATTTGACGTACGCATTGTATAACATTTTTACAAATATCACGAGGTGTCATGCTTAAATTTATTAATAGTATGTTCATTCCCGCGTCCATCATCTTAATTATTCCTTCTTTTGTCTTCCAAGATTTTCCTTTATAAATTAAGTCAGATTATAAAAAGTACCAAGGGTACAAACAATAGATGTTTGTCTGGCATTATCAGCAATTTGGTCAATGTCTAATTTGCATGTATAACTGAGGCGAGATATCGGTTTAGTTTTCATCATACAGGTATTAGACGCACTTGGAAAGAGGTCTGAAGCGCTTTCAGAATGCGAGTGCAGCTCGACCCCAGAGAAATTCATTCCCCCCGAATTTTACACGGCCGAACCGAAAATGGGCACCGCAGAGAAGTTCAAGTATTTTATTAAGTAAAAGAAAGTGGTAATCAATTGTGATAAATGGAATTCACGAATATGTCTCTTTGTCATTTTCAAAAAAATTAAATTCAGTGTAGCAATTCCGCAAGAACTAATGATGTATAGCCAGATTCATGATGAATGAAAAATGACATGGTTTAACGAAAGAATCGATTTTTTTTTAAATAAATGCAATTGATAATGTTATAACACGTTTAAAACTTAAAAATGGTTTCCTGAATAATAATGAGGGTTTCTGATGGGGGTACAAAGACATAACCAGCCTATTTTGATTCCAGCATTTGAAATAATCTTCAGATATTACTGTAAAAAAACTCTATCATGAAGTAGCAGAATATCCTCCACAAAGACTTATGGTATTTAAGTGAATAAAGTAGATCTTGTACTGTTCTAAATTTCTTGCAGGGTTTGAAGAATGTCATGGGAATTAATATTGCAGCATTTGTATAAAAATCCCCCTGTCCAGTGACTATTTTATTATTTTTGAATCACGTACTAAAAGATGATTTTATTGTCCGATTAGAAAGTAGTTAAGTATTCTTACGGGAAAGTTGTACTGCTTTAGCTTATCAAGCAGTTTTACAGATATACCAATCTTAATTCTTTTTCTTGATTAAATTTCCTTGATTTGTGCTTTTCAAAAATATTCAAATTATTTTCGAAGTCAAAATAAAGCATTTAATAGTTTGGCATATGTATTTTACATTATGTGCCTCTGAGGATCGCTAATACTTTACGTGACCTAAACGGAGACTGAAAAACCAAGTCCCTTTTAATGGTAAATGCGATAACATCAACTTGCACTTGTTGGCAAACAAGTAAAGGGATCGACTTTAATTAAATGAGTCAGTCAAAAAACAATTTCATGCCAAAAATTTTTTCGAGATTCCAAGAGATTCTTTTGGACTCTGTACGAAACGAAATCAGTGTGTAATGTGTAAAAATGAGAATGAAAATAGCAAACCAGTTGTTATAAATAAAGAACTAAATGAGAGACCCGCCCTCGATGATATACTTTGTTCTAACCGCAAAAAGACCCAAGTGTTTTAGAGTATCCTAAATATTTTCGTAATATTGCAGTAGTGTATAAAAAGTGCCTATTTTGATCGAGAAGTTTGCAGACTAAAGCTTTTGACATTTGTACCTGTGTAATCTTTAAAATACCCTATCTCTAATTCGATCATATTTGAAACTTTGACCCACGGTTCTGACATTAAATAAATATCAAGTGTATGAAAAGCATTTTTACATGCTAATCTTAAAAATAAGTAAATGAAAATTGTACCACAATATATACCGATTTATATTATTTGGCGATGGCTAGCAGGTATACACCACACTCTTTTGTCGACTTTCCATTTTAACTAAAATAGTTTGATTTTTGTGATTTCGAGCACTAGTCGTTGTCATTCCTGTTGTAGGGGCCTAGTACGGGATAAAAACCCTAGTAGACGTAACAATCAGGGAAGAGATGGGGGGTCAATGACAAATAAGAATTGATTCTTATTCAATATTCAATTTCTTTGTGAAATGTATTACTTTCAACAAATACTCAAATCACCCAGATAACGATTAATTTATATTCACTAATTAGGAATTTCTGCTAACTGTCTTATGCATGTCTTCTTTAGGCGCACTAAATGGCAACGGCTGTGCCTACTTCCATCTTGGTAAGTGAAGGGCCTGTCACATGAGAGGACGAAGCAATGTCATTTCTCGATAACTAGACACCGATTAACTGAAACGTGAGAGTAGAGACAAATAACGTGGATCATGAGACTCGAGTCAATTGAGAAATTCAGCAACGCGAACACAATTACGACTCAATGCCATAGACCAAGTCCATCGGTCTGAGTAAGCTTTGTCTTCGTAAGATATTGCAATAGTTAAGTCGAAGTTTTTGCTTATTTTAGCCTGAGGCAATAGTAATAACTCCGAAAGAATAGATATTGATAATCACGACATATGATTGGAACATATGAGATATTACAAGTAATACTCGTAAAACCAAAATACAAAAGTTTGAAAAATGCCGTTTTTGGCATGTTACAATTTTGTTACAATGATCTTTACATGAGATCATTCTTATACCCACCTGGACTTCGCCTTTTTAGGGAAAAATACCATGGGTCTGCCTTTTTCTTTTAAGTTTGCATATATTTCTTGTTATTACAAAATAACCAAGGTTTTATAGCACTAATTTTAGAAGCAAAAGTTGCGTAACTTGTACTGAATACGCAGATATTTAAGGTCCTTTAAAAAATCAGTGGTTGAGATAATTTTTATGGTGCTTATGTATAATTAGTGCACAACCTAACCTCCACAAATATTTCCTTTGAGCTTAAAATTATATTTAAATTATAAATATTTCCGCAGTCTTTTGGAAATTTTAAAAAAATCGGGCGCATGATTTCACAACACTGAAAAACAGGTCTACATGAGGCACATAACTTGTCCCAACAGCAGACTCTAAGGTGGTAACTGATAAACAGCTAATTCTATGGCACTCCTTTATAGGCGATTTTTAATGTGGTTAAATAATTCTAAAGCACTGGAAAATCAATTTTTAGTTTTCTCCGTGTCGAATTTGGTTATTGTGAAACACACAGTTATTGATACAAACGCTTTAGAGGTGGGGATTTTGGTCTTAGTGACCAGCTGTACCTCGGACAGCCTTGAAGGCGTGAAGATGCGAAACTGCAAGCCCTACTGGATGAAGACTTAATACAAACGTAACTACAACTTCTAGCTCAGTTAGGAGTCACTCAAAAAGCTATTTCTAGGCATTTGCACCAAGTAGAAAAAATTCAAAAATCTTGGAAGTTTCGTCCTCCCACGTGTGCTGATCAAACAGCCTAGGTCGACGTATGAAGACATGCCGTTCATTGTTTGCCAGCCGGCAGCAAAAAAGGACTTCCTGTGGAAAATTGTGACGGATGATGAAAATCTCAAGCGTGAAAAGTCGTGGGTAGATCCTGGTCAACCAAATCCATCGACGTCAAAACAGGACATTTGTGTGAAGAAGGTTCTCCTGTGTATCTAGTGGAACATAAAGGATGTACTTTATTACGAATTTCTGAAAACTAGTCAGACGGTAACTGCGGGACGCTAGAACCGACAACTGATCAAACTGAGGTCAGAAAAGGCCATCGACTAGGCAAGGAAACAAGCAAGTTACACTGCTACTGCAGGGTAATACTCGACCTCAGAAGACCCTATTGGACATGGAATGTTAAGTTCTCCTACAGGTGGCATATTCACCGAACCTGGCCGCATCTGACTACCATTTGTCGCAGTCAACTCAGCACGCCTTAGTGGATTAACTGCTCAAAAGGCTGGACGATGTGCATGGACTTTCCGGTGACTTTGTTGCCTCCAAGCCTGCCAGTTTCTCTCGCGACGGCATTCGTACGTTACTTTAGAGATAGCTCAAGGTGTTAGAAAATGATGCACAATGTTTTCAAGATTAAATTCGATGTTCTGTACTTTTTTAAAATAAATAATTTTTCTGAAAAATCTGCAAGCGTTAAGTCGTGGGCCGAATACTTCATTTAAAAGAAGAAAAGGTATACTGAGATAAGAATGCGTGCTAAGGTAACTCCCATTAATTGGTCGAAACTGTTCAGAGTCATATTCGAAACATTATACGTTGTCATAATGGGTAGTTGACTCGGTACAACACAAAACATCCAATATGTTATTTATTCAGTAGCTAGGCCCTAAGTTCGCAATTCTTTTTCATCTGTTTTCCAATTTTTTTTGCTTATTTTCTTTCACCTGTGCTGATCACTTAAATTTAACTCGTCTTATTTTTAAGAGACCCCAGGCGATGGTAGCAACGTGCAAGGCTACCTGTTCATCGCCTCGAGTGAGGGCATGTAAACACGCACGCCCTCATGGTCAATTAGAAATTGATTCACCCAAGAGCGTATGGCTGAGGCCACAGTTAGCAGGGTACTTCGTGGTGGGAATGGGCAATTAAGAAATGTCCTGGAGTCCAAGTAACACCATGTCAATATCATCGGTCTTCGATCAAGCTCATTGACAATTTGCTTTGGGGGGATAATTTGAGAACTATCGGTCAAGCTCTGGAAAGAGGCTTCTAAACACCTTTCAGAGTTCTGTCATAGAGCAATGTAAAGGGCAATTCTTTTAAAAAAATGGTTCGAATTCAGCTTTTAGCAACAAACTTGTTTTGTGAACTGGAATTTAAATTAGACAATGATGCGGGCACCATGAGAGAGTACTTGAAATAAACTAACGCCGAAAAAGGCTTCAAACGCGAATGTTAGCAATTACTCTTCAGTATTCCAGCAATTCAAGTGGGTGAGCACTCTCAGTGGTGCAGAATGTGGCAGTAGAAAGTCGCCTTGTTGCTTACTACCAAGTTTCGTTTTTTCAACAATAGCGCGTTCTGGAAAGAGGACAGTAGGTCATTCGCATCGAGGACGACTGAGACGATTCACTAAGGCTCGTTGGTGGTGTCACAAAGAGCCCCCAACACCTCGATTAGTTCTTCGAGCCATTTGCTGAGGCGAGATGCGAAGAAATTTTTGTTCTGGAGTAGTTTCCCAATTTCATATCGACATTTGACTAATGCAGACCAATTCTTGAGCAGGTCGAATCCTCAAAAATAACTATTTCATGTAGGAGGCGCATTCTCCGGTCATGTTGAAAGGTCAGTAAAACGGAAGCATTAATTTGTCTGGCAACAATACATTTCAATCGAGTTAGTTCATTTGTTTACACGCTAAAAGCCACCTAAGCTACTTCATGTTTACTTGCATCGCCATGATTACGTGGAACCCGTGGCTGAACACTGGAAAGAGTGTGTGGCATGATACGGAGTTGTGAGTTTGACCCTTAACGGATAACCCTGACTGGGTGGTATTATTACTGTTGTTGAAATTTTTTGCGTTTCATTTAAACAGTATTAACACGCTCAAACCTGAGTGTGGTGTGAAAAAGGAGCGATTTTACTGTGCTCAAATTTTTGATCAGTTTGTAAATAAATGAAATACTTTAAGCCAGTAACAATGCATCAAGTCTTCGTGAAACCAAATAGGTGTGTTTTGTAGTGACTGCTTTTACGAAAATGTTAATTTAGATAAAGTGCAATAATATCTAACATAGTCTGTCAACTAATGTTCCTCCTGCCACACTGTAATCTGAGTCACTAAGGCATAGGAAAGCAACAGAGACGGATTTTTTAATGTACATCAAATAAACTTCGCGAATAAGCGGACCACCTCACGTTCATTCAGCTCCAAAAAGGTGAATGCGAGTTTGTGGCGTGTAGTTTTGATGTCATGCATCAGCGGTGGGTCGCCTGATTTCAGGGACTGTGATGAAAGGCTGGTGCAACGAAGTCGTGACCTTTATGCATTCTAAAACCCCGTCAATCTGCTTCACGCATGTATAGTTACCAGCTTCAATTTCTTATTTATATAAAAAAATTAACTATTAGAGTTTTTTCATGTACATTTTAAAACATGAATGAGATTAACACTTACTAATAAATCTGCATTATACTAACAGCCAAAGCCACAAATCAGAAGATCTCCATCTCTGAGGTTGGTGAATGCTATTTTTGTGAGATTTGCCACTGGGCCCGCGAATTATGAACAGTCGACTATGTGATTGAATGTACAGAAATTTGAACTACTTCGCTTCTCCATTTACGTCCATTTCTAAATAATCAGGACACAAATTTTAATCACCAAACTGTGTTAGAATCAGTAAGTGGATTTGCTGGCAAACGTACTGACAAATGTAGTTGACTGGCTGAATCAGGAGAAATTAATCAAAGGAACACAATGACTTCAAACAATCAAGTTTAGACCCACTTCAGAAAAAATCTGTCTTGATCTTCTTCGACCAAGTCTTCAGGTCATCCTCGTCCTCGAAGATTTGAGCGCAAAGTGTTTCTGAAACAGGTTTCATGCATGACAATGAAAGCTCAGCAGCTCTCAGCCCACCAAAAACGGCTCTAGTCCAGGGCCAGTTCTTCAAATAACGAAGATAGAGAATGGCTCCTACGCAGCTATCCCCGGCACCAGACACACTTTTGATCAATGTCTGATCCACGACCGGGGAAGTAAAATGACACGCCTCTGTTTCATTGACAAATATTACACCATGTCTCCCGAGCTTTACGAACCAGTTAGCTGCCAGGGAGCTCAGTTTTCGTCGTATGTTGGAAATGCATTCCGCCAGACTCTCACGAGATGTAAGGTTTACGTCAAGATTCTTGCCAACAAGCCGTTCGTAAATGGCTTGGAGTTCAGTTAAATTTGGAGAAATCGCATCGATTGGTTCACCAAACGTCACGGCCTCAACAATTTTGGTGCATTTGTGAAGATCTGTAGGCTCAAACCAAAATGGAACTGAGCTGGTTTTGGCAATTTTGATGAGACTTTTCAGAGTTTTTACATCGACATTGCCATCAGAACAGATAACTTTAAGATTTGGTGACGCTGCCTTCTGGAGTTCTGATTCAACAAAAGCGGGCGTTAGTTGCTTGTGAATATCCATATCAGCAACGCCAAATAATAGTTCGCCTGTGTGATTTAGCACGCCTATGTACCTTGCTGTTTTTGAGGAAGCTGGCAAATTGGGTGCTGTTCGCCAAGCAATAAATGGGTGGTTGACAAGCAGGTTTTTTCCAGCCGAGTCATCCTTAATAGCCGTCAGGAAGAGATGAGATTTTGAAAGTCTTCCAACCGCTTCAGCAACGTTTCGTCCAACCCCACCACCTCCGAGCACCTCAACCGTTCCTGGATAGCTAGCAGGTGGGTAAATATCCTTTGTACTTTTGAGCTTTTCGGGAAGTAGTTTTATAGACATATCTACGTTTGATCCCCCAACTATAACAATTTCTGGTTTTTTTAACAAAAAATTGACTTTGCATGGGTTGCTTCTTAGTTTGGAAAGTTGACCCGCCATTTGTGCTGCAAATTTTGCATTGTTTAGGACGAGCTGGATATTGGCTTCCAACGAAGCATCACCAGTAATCTGGCGGACTCTTTCCAACAAAAATGGTGTCACAGAGGCTCCAGTTATGTTAGCTCCTTCAGCCTCAATTAGTGCTTCTTCAATTGCCTTAGCAGTTGTTTCTCCTACGGCCTGCATATCCTCTGGAATTGGAACAGCAAACAACATCCCAACTGATGGCCTTATATTGAGACTTGTAGCAAAAAGACGTGCAGCCTCACCGGGGCTATCGACTCTTCCTGGTGATTTTACCCCAGAGCTTCTTGTAAAAAACGCAGGAAACTCGTCTGTTCCCACACTTGCGACGGTCACGCCCTTCGATTCCAGAACCTCCAACGTTCTGGGGATATCAAGGATAGACTTGACACCTGCCGAAACTACCGCCACTGGAATTGTTGCAAGTGCCAGTAGATCAGAGGAAACGTCCATGGTGTTCTCTCCATCCCGGTGCACCCCACCGGTTCCCCCAGTGGCGAAAATCTGAATTCCAACTAAATGAGCTGCAAATGAAGTTGCAGAAACAGTGGTGCCGAAGACGCGACTGTGATCGGGGCAGTTAAGTGCAAAGGGCAGGTCACGAATGGCAGCTTTCTTGGTGTTTCCGCGGCTTGATGAGTCGATTAGGCGCTCGAGCTCGCATTTGCTCAAACCAATGTGAACTTTGCCATCGAAGATTGCAATCGTTGCAGGAATGGCGCCATGCCTGCGCACGACAGCTTCGACATCGATGCCGAGGGTGAAGGCGCGGTCCGGGGGAAGACCATGCGTCAAGATTGTGCTCTCTAATGCGACGACTGGTCTATCAGCCGACAGTGCGCTTCGAACTTCCTCCGAAACTCTGGTGAACAGTGAAGTAGGAGGACTGGTAGTGTAAAGAAAGAATTTACAAGCAGAAGGAAGTGTTCGTGAAAGGAAGGAGAGGCGGTTCGAACTAATCATTTGTCTAAATAAACAACAAAAGTTATAAAGCTCTAATGTCAAACAGAGATAGCTACGGTGGTGAGCATTACGCAGAGCATCTATTAGGGGAAATAATTCAGCCTTACTTGCAAAGAATTATGATTTCATTAGATTTTGTGTCAACTTCGCAAAAGTTTTTCTAGTGAAATTTCGTTTCAAAATGGCCACAAGGAATATACCATTAGACAGCAAAGTTTAAATTAAAACCAGTTCCACTTACAATTTTGTTAACGCTTACCGCGAACCGGATACGGATCCCTTATGCGTATACAATTCGTTGAGTGACTTTATACTTGTGTCTTGTCCGCGCAGTGACAAAACCGCATGTCCTGTTTACTAGCCATAATTGGCCTTTACGTTCATCGGTAAACAAAACTGACGCACGACGCAACTTGATTAGGTTAACGTAGTCAATTTAAAAGGGCATTGCTTCTTATTGCTTTGTGTGATTTGTTTCCAAAAGGCAGGTCCAAAAGTAGCTGATGGAAGGTCGATTAGACTATCGCAGCATTACTCGTTTCTTAAACGTTAAAAAACCAGGTATTTCGAAGAGGTAATTTGTAGTTCAGTTTCATGTTTGGCTCGAATCATGCCTGCAAAACTTTAGCTACATTCAAGTATGGTAGCTTGTGGTTACATGTTACCCGATTATTCAGACAGCTATAACCTTGTGCTTTAATCGGGCATTACAAATGCATATTTCCATGTAGTGCATATCTGACATTCTATCAAAGATATCATCGAGAATCACCATAGCTTCCAGGGTAGTTATGTTTTCAGAGTTTCCATTACCGTGGATGCAAATTTATTAATCACTTGGAGAAATTAGGATTTTGCCCCACAACTAAAAACGAGGCAGAAGTAACAGGGCTGCTAATGCACGCTTATTATTGCGTGTATTAGCGGCTTTGCAGTCGACCGAACGATCGACCAATTGATAGGCGACTATCGTTAGCAGTTATTGTTAACACATCTTGCCGGTGTCAATTTGACTGATTCGTTAGAAGGCTGTATATGTATGTTTCTTTTTGAGATATAATATTCTTCCTCGGGAAGAACGGAAACAAATAATGAGCGACCAACGACAAATGAACTTGAGTGCATTGTAATTGTTCTACGATTAAGACATTAGGAGTGAGACACAGTACCGATTTCAGTACGTATTTCTTTTCAAATTTAAAAGAAATACGATAGCCTGCCGTATTTGGTGCTTTAAATCATCAGGTCCATGTGAAGACCTTCCAAGACCTGGAAGGCCAATGCCTGTTTGTGTCTTTAAAAGAAGATTCTTGAGGCCGCCCTCGTTTGTTATCCTCAAAAATCCACAAAAAGTTAGTTACTTGAACTTAGCATCTCTCAAAGATCAATTGTGAAGCTAGTCCATAATGTTTAAATGAGAATAAGTCGCTTATACTTACTTAAATCATTGAATGAAAATGATTATAACCATCGTGAAGACATCGCCTAAATTTTATAACAGCATTCTTTAAAGAGAATAGTGCTTTCCCAGGGAAAACTGTCTGAAGTGATGAAACGACATGAAGGATGAACGACTGGATCAATTGAAGTAATTCTGCGCAATGTGCAGGTGCAGTTTGGATTGGGATTCGTGCCTCAGGTTTGGCTGGGGAGTTTTCCCTTGGGGGGAAATCAGACGATCGACAACTATGTGGTAATGCTACACAATGGTATTCTAGCCAGAGAGATAAACTGGCCACATAGTCATGAAATTCGGTTCCAACAAGTCGGTACACATCCCCATTACAGCATTGATGCGTTCTATGGATTTTGTGAGTACCTTCCACAGTAATGGATTGGGCGTCGTGGTCAAATGTGTATTCTCCTCGTTTACCTGACCGCATATCTCTAGAGATGCTTTTTGTGGTGGATCGTTCTTAAATAACTTTTGACGTTGAAAGTTAAATAATTATGTTTTATGCGATGCTGACAAAACTGGAACTCTTATGACTGTCTCCTGAACCCCGCCAACTTCGCTTTTAAAAAGGTAATATTCTTGCAACACTGTGCCAAATTAAAATGTGTCGTGTGCAGTTCTCTACAAAAACTAAATCTATAGGAGTGACACAGTGCGAAATGCTCACAGTCAAATAAGGAATGTAAATTTGCATGTAAACACCTTGACTCTAAACTTCAACTAACAATGGCAAACAACTGTTGCATGGCTGGACCACGACCTGCGACTTCCAACGTAAGAGGAACTTCCAATGGTTGTAAATATAAAGAATTTCCTAACGCCCTACGGGCTTACCAATACATGTCAAATGTACGGCGATGTTAAAATAGGTTGACTCGGTGAAGAGGAACCATCGTCAGCCCTGTGTGCTAAATCATTTTACAAGCGATTTTGACCAAGTTGAGATATTTTATAGCTCGTCAAAAAGAGTCGTTCCACACGTGCACAATATTGTTAAATTGAGCTATCATAAATTTATGCTAAAATTTCCACGGATCTAATAACTACCACCCCTACAAATGGCTTTAATGCATATTTTGGTTCATGACTCGGTCTATGTTTTTACCAGTTCCTTAAATTTAGACTGTGTCTGATAATATCAAAGTAGTAAAGCATGACTCTCCAATTACAGATAGACATTTATCGGTTTTTAATAAGGTTTGGAATAAAAGTTATGAAGGATCTTTTAATGTCAGGAAATTACATCAAAATAAAGTTAGCATTGATTAAACGTGGTATCTCTTAACTAGAACCTAAGTAATTGGCCAGCAAACAAAATCAGCGGTCGATACACAAAAATAATAAGATGTTTGAACTTTGAAGAAACAAATATTTATGTTGGTGTGCTGAAGGCCCCGATATTGGGTCTCAGACCACGTTACGTTTTATTGGCACGAAAGGTTTAAGAGGGTCGGTGTTAACGGAGCACAAAAGATTATTTGATGGCTAAACTCTAGTTGCGTAGCGTGTGTGCGCAGTCAAGGTCGTGTATGATTAATAAACATTTTGACCTATACGGTTTAGGTAAACTAGTAGGAGTTAAATGACCAAATGGCAAGGTGAGTAAAGTGGATAGTAGGGGAGGTGCATACACAGGGGAGAAGGAATAGACAGTTCCGCAAGGGTGATGTAAACACTGTGAAAAAGGGAGGCGTTGAGTCGGTAGATACAACGACAATACCGTTGACAGCGATTTATCAGGATTAACCACAGCACCAATCAAAATATGGCGAAAACAGTTGCTTAGTGGAAATAAAGCCTGCTACAATTAAATGTGAAAAATTATGCCATATTTGCATAAAAGGAAAATTTCACTAAATTCTTAAAATTATTGTGGCGCATACATTTAATGTTGTTTATTTTTATTTTGACACCATACATAGCAATGTTAGAAGCTTACGAAAATACTTTTTAATATAAATTTATTTCAATCCCATTCGTGTTACATTTATTGCCCCAACTGGCAGCCCTCATTTGATTAGCATTAAATATGTACGTTAAATTTAATGAATAGTTGTTTTACACTTTTACAAGTTGCCTTTGACCACGTCATTTTTAGTTCAATTTCCGGTAAAATATCGCATATTCGAATTTTGATCATTTTTCGAATTGGAGAATTTTCTGGGCCTTAAACTGTTGTCATTTTGAATCATAAAAAGGATATCTTTACTTCAAAAAGGTAATTCGGTAAGGCAAAAATTGATTTATTTAATAAATTTTTCGGAAAAGGAAAAATGTTATTTACGTAAATTCGAAAATTTTATTCAAAAATCAGACCTAGTCTTTGCAATTGTAGAATACCCGAGCCCTAATATGAAGAATGCCGGTATAACAGATCAGGCTTTATTGACCAACCACAAGCCAGAACCACTTGTCAGACGCCTTCCATCCAAATTCACCACGTTGGCTACGACGCTAATTATATACTGCTCTTCATGGCTGCATGTCTTCCTCGCATACCATTGGAACGCAGGCAGACAGAGGATTGGCTGAGTCCAGCAAGGTCCAATATGTCTGCGCCTCGAGACGTCGCCCCTGTAGAATACCCGAGCCGTAATAGGAAAAAGACTGATACAACAGAACAGGCCTTATTGACCAATCAGAAGCCTTCCATCTGAGTCCACCAAGCTGGCCACGCCGCTCTTTATATACTGCACCTCATCCATGTCCTTCTCTGGTTGGCTGCTTACCTTCCTCGCATGCCATTGGAACGCAGAGGGGCACAGGATTGGCTGCAGCCAGGTGGTCCAACATGTCTGCGCCCTGATCCGACGCCACACCCCACTACACCACCGAAATCCGTTTTTTTGCGGAATGCCGCAACAGGAAATGGCGTATAGTACCAATAGGTATTTAGTTTATGCTGCGAATGCATTGTCGTCTAAACTTTTTTTAAAAGGCTTTCAATGCTTTAACTCATTTCTTTTCAATAGCTACTACCCAATTTTTTGTAAAATGATTTGACCCAGCAGAATTGTCACCTGATCGACGATAGAAAATTTATTTAGTTACTGAGCGCAACGTGGAGGTCCTCAAACAGAATTGATTTCTTGTTTTAATCCTTTTAATGAACAAATATACATTTCTAAATGGTTGCGAAATTTTTTCAATTTAGTAATGTCGATGATTATGATGTCGGACCATATGTGAGCGACAAACCAGTCTACAGTTTCCTACAATCTCACCTATCTTTATGTCCTCACAACAGAGTGGGTGCAACATTAAGACACTATTCTCAGTAAGGTGCGCCTGACGGTGCCTGCGGCATCGTCAAGCCTACGTTTTGAACGAGATAACCAAGATGACAATGTCTGCCTCGACTATGGTAGGACTAAGTTGAATTATTACTACATCTACAAAAATATAATTTTTAAAGAGTAACCCCAATGAATGGGATAACATATTGGTTGCTTAAGGCTTTCTATGAAGTTTCTAAAATTCCGTATGGGCAGCAAAATGTATATATATTTTGTCTGTGGATTCCATATTTAAGAACATATATATG